CTGCATTTATAATGAAGTGGTCACTTGATTTGCATGTGAGTAATTTATCTCGGGTTCGATTTGAAATGCGTTGACCTAATCTCAGAGGTTTTAAGTATTTTATGAGGCCTATGTTATTAGGGGTGCGGCTATTGCTACAATTTCAGACTTTATTCTAATTCCATTAATAAATAGAATACCTAGAATAATATATATAATAGAATAGAATAAAATAATCTTTATTGTACACCATTAATAGTACCTACAATAAGAAAAAATAAAAAATAAAAATATGAGCACAAAGGCGGCATTACCATTAATAAAATGCAAAAAATAAATTAAGCATTGCTGATGTCTTATTTCTTATTTTCTCTTTATGACTAGATAATTTTAAAAAGTTGCTTTAATATTATTAGATCTGAAGTCACCAATTACGTAGGTAATTATAAAAAATACAAATTAATATAAACCATTAAGAAGTGAAGATAACTAAATTATATTATTAAGGAGGAGAAGGAAAGGCCTGAGTAATGGTAGCGGTAGTAATTCATAATTAATTATACGAAAATAATAAATTACGTGTAATAATGATGAGTTATTGCGGCCGCGGTGCTAATAGCTATGTTTCAACAACTTTATCTTAGAGGTACAAGATTATTTTTATTTGGTAATATTAGCCTCTGTGTTGTGATGTCAGAGTAAATAATTCTTTTATAAACTGTATGAAAAAAAAACCAAGTGCAACTCCCTCTTTTTTGAAGTTGGTTAATTAATATACTAAAAGATTCTCCTAAGTGTACACACGGCCACACATCAACCTATACAAAACCAGTTTATCCTGGTGTCGCGTCGCATCATCTTTCCGCACATTTAACGTTCAGTTTATACTGGTTATGTAAAGGTCGATGTGTAGCCGTGTGTACCTAACGAACACTTTTCTCAAAACCCCATAGAAATTGGCTTGCAAAATAATCGTGTAGGTACACAAACACACATACAGCTTAAACTGAGAACCTCAATTTTTGAAGTCGGTTAAATATATTTTGTCACCATCTTTGCTATTCTCCCGGGTTTCGTAAGTATTGTCTATAAAATACTCCATATTTGACAAAGACCGGGCAGCTACATTCTCTGATAGATCTTATTGCAAGCTTTTATTTACTTTTATTTACTTTACTATATACATATTTGTTTGTATAAAAGTATTGCGTGTGTAAAGTGGAATTTGCAACTGAATTGTGAAGTAGATCTTCAACCGATTGAGCTGAAATTTTGAATACATCTTTATTGAATCCTTTGCATAATCATACATGCAATAGATTAATTTCTTTTTTTAATTAACTTTGTTTTTGGTACTGCTAAGTAGTTTAGCAAGCTGTAAAAGGCATTGTCGAAGGTCTTGGGTGTTATCTCTGTGTCGTGTAAAGTAACGGCCTGTGACATTACATTATGCACTTTCAATATTTAGATATACCACACTTGGCGGACAGGTTGAAGATCGTACTATAAAAAGTTCAGTCAGAAAGCGCTGCTGCCCGGTCTCTGTCAAATGTATTTTTCAATTTTCTAAGAGGGGAACTTCATTGAACGTCTTCTTAAGCCTAGATGAGGTGGGAAGGAGTGTCAGACTCTTACTGACTAAAAACCACCCCGTTCCTACTCCTGTCCTTGGAGACGGAGCCCCGGCAGCCCGTTAAGTCCTCCGCGGCTCCGCGTATCGGCACCACTGTCAAATGTATAGGCTCTTAATTAACTTTTATCTCCTGCCTAAAGAGTCGCGATAATGACACGACAACTTAAGCATATAAGGCTAAGGACACGCGGTGCGATCTTCTCTGCACCCGCTACGGTGGTGGAATGAAGGTGGAATTTTCAAAACTCACGAGACCGCAGTTTTCTGATATCCCGTAGCCACCGCGGTGCGATTATTACCCGCAAACTTGGCGGTTGATTGTCACAAGCATAGTGTTTTAGTATCCTAGAAATAGAAAACGAGGTAGACAGTTTTGAAGATGAGAAGACGATATAAGAACAATAGCAGGAAAAATATGGACTAGAACAGCGCTAAACCAAACAGAGTGGAAAGGATGGCCTTTGCCAAAGCTGGGTAAACAGACGAAGTTGTCAGTGTCAACGACCCACCAGAGTCGCATTTGTAAATTATTTTATGTAACTACTTTGTCTGAATAAAGGCTTATATTATTATCACAAGACTGGTGGGTGGTTAAACAATTAGTTGAGTTTCACACCAGCCGTCCTATTGCGACCGCCCGCCAACTGATCACAGAGCGCGCGGGTACTAGCCGCCGCTGCTGTGGGACCGCGGTGGCAACAGAGGGCGTTAAACGCGCTGTGTAAAATACTTTGATTTTTTACATACATATGTATGCGACGGGCGCGGAAGAAATTCGCGCCGTGAGTCCTCAGCTTAAAACTAAAGCGTGCAAAAATCCACCATTTTGAATTGCAACAGTTCTATTTAACCAATCAAAAGAGAATACAGAAACATCGCACTCCACTCGGCGTGCACAAAACGACGGCAAGGATACCAAACATCGTTTTTGGATTGGAAAATACAAACAATGGGTATTGCAGTTTTTTCCATTTGAAGCCTTCGAGTGTTTTCCACCTGTACATTTTTTGGGGTTCTATTCTCTTGTGGTGTTAGTTATAATCGTTTCGAGATTTAATTGTTTAACTGCCTCGTTGACCGAGTGGTCGTAAGTGCGACTGCTGCCCAATGGGTCTCGGTTTCGAAACCCAGGTTGAGCAAAGTATTAAAGGTTTTAAAAAAAATCTGTATAGTAGACGTAGCCTGGATTTACGGTATATGGCAATAGGCTCACCCCCTATTACATGGGATTCATAACATAAATAGTGAAAAGTGGGTGTTAGATTGCACAGTGGCATTAAATGCCGTAATGTCCACCTCTGTCTATCCTTTAGGGGATAAAAAGGCGTGATGTATGTTATGTCTGACTGACTGGTGAAGTGATCGCGAGTTCGACGGCCAAGCCAAGGGTTTTGCTATTTCATGATCTGTCGTCGGCGATATTTCCGAACCGATACGATCTTCAAACCTTCAAGAGAAGAGCGTACTCCTTTTTAAAGGGCCGGCAACGCACCTGTGACTCTTCTGGTGTTGCGGGTGTCCATGGGCGGCGCTGATCGCTTACCATCAGGTGATCCGTCTGCTCGTTTGCCTCCTATTCCATAAAAAAAAAAAATGTTAATTCTGTTTGATTGCCGCATTGGTTGAGTGGTAGCAAGCCGAGTGACAGGTTAATTAGTTCAATTCCTTAGGTCGAGTAAAGAATGTCTGGGCTGTTCCAGATTAAAAAAAAAATTGAGTAGCTGTGTATTTATAATGAAATTTTGTTATATAATGATTTTTTGTATTTCTATTGAATAGATCGTCGCGTACCTAGTTACGGTTGCAAACAGTCTGGAATTTCTTGACATGGTTGTATGGATTACCCTATTACGTGGGACTATTAACAAAACAGCCACTAAGTAGTTATATATCTATCTCTCACATCTACCTACCCCTCAGGGATGTGTAACATTCTTTAAACTGTCAAACACCGCGGGGACACCGGTGGCCGCAACCTATTGTTCTATAATTGTGTCTATAATGACGGTACTCGACGAGTTAATAATGAACGACCAAACTGATGTTCTCTACAAAAGGTTAACGATACGGAAGGGCTAATCTGCCATCTTCAGCTTTAGCTATATTTATGTGAAGATGTCAATATTCATCCACTATCACGGAGCCATTAGCCATTGGTTCAGTTTACGCTTGACCGATATTTTCTAGTTCACAGCTCTGTTGGTAGGTTTCTACATATTTTATTTGTGGTAGTGTGCTTTGCATATGGTTGCGTGCGCATAAATGTTTCGCTCCAAATGTGAATTTTGGAAATTTCTGACCTTAAATATTTTAGGAGCCGGTGTGATGAAAAAAAATCTTGGCTTGAAACTAGTCGAGTTCCTCGTCAAATTACTACGTGAGTAAGCCGAAAACATAATAATTTATTTAAAAATCTTAAGTTAAATACAAAGATATAAGTAGAAATAGCGATTGGATCTGTATGATATATAGGTATCTTTACCACTATTAAAAAACTAAGTACCCTCAACCGACGAGCTTGCATGAAAAGACTGATGACAGTTGATTAAGCGAAAGAGGTATGTAAGAATAGTAGCAATTGGCGTTCCTTAGTCTCTGCCTACTTCCATGGGAGACTGGCGTGAAGTTATGTATGGATGCATATATGTATAAAGAGAAGATAAAACCTATGTGTATGTTAGCATTTAGACGCAAACATTACTTAGTTCGACTGATTTGAAAAATTCAGTCCCTACTGTAAAGCTATTTTCCAGAAAGTTACGCTACTTTCAAATCAATATTCTTACATGATTACGCACACCCATTCCAAAGTAATCATCCAAATTCGACGCGAGAGAAGCAGCGTGCTGAAACCTTGGAGAAGGGAACAGAAAAAGTAAATGAAAAATGTCTCACACTAACCATTTTGAAATAAAATGAACGTTCCATCTTACATACAATTGTTAACACAAAATTGCATTAGACTACCATGACACTTTTTAAATAAACACCCAGACAAAATATTTAATTTTCTTTGTGATTATCATCTGAAAAAAGCTAATTTTCAGGATAAATGAAGCAGGGGTTAATGACATAGTTCGTTCAGCTACTGAAGTTTGTTTCAGCCTGAAACTTGCGCCCAATCGAGCCGCGATTTCAGTAGCTTTTCAGCGTCGGACGCGGGCGGATGTAATTTCAGCTCCGGTTCCAGTAAATACGAGAACTTACGAACGATATTTTTGAATTTTGGAAAAAGAATAAATATAAACAGTGTGTTGTGTTTTTTGTCGGTAAAAAAAAATCATCAGAAAAATTGTGATTTAGTTTTATTTCTTCAGAAAATTATACAGTGGTTGATTTTTTTGTTGTAAGTGTTCTTTAAATACCTAGTGATTTTTTATTTTGTGAAAGTTTAGTGTTTAAGAAGTTAAATTGTACAGGGTGAGTTTAATTGTGATTGATTAATAAGTTTAAGTATTAAGTTTTATTGTTTAATTGGATTCCGATTTGTTTGGGTTCAAATCTTTCGAAGTAGATTTATTGTTTCGATCTGAATTTACGAGGAGCTTAGATCTGATATTTATTGATGAAATTCGTAATTTTTAATTAGAAACAATAATATAAATTTCGGGTCATATTTTTTAACAATAATTATGGTTAGATACTTCTTTTATATGTAATCAATGTATTGATTTCTATGATCAGCATAATATAAGTGTTATAGCGCATAGAAAACTCTCTAAACCTCATTTTAATGATTTTTCTTGTTTATTAGGTAGATACGTTATAGAGAAAGTTTAACAACA